CTTTCCAGCTCATCCTCTCGTCTTGCTGAGATGGCAAGCAAGGCTCCTATCTTTGATAGCTGGTAAGCCAATTCTTCTCCGATTCCACTTGAAGCTCCTGTCACCCAGACAACCTTGCCACGCAGTTCATTTTCTATCAAGAGAATCAAGACAGCAGTTCACACATTGCCAATGCTAGGATAAACACTGCAGGGGTATAATCTGATATTGTTTTTAAGAAATATGCTCATTTGGGGGGGCTATTACAAAATCTTGACTTCTTTATTTTTTGGTCACATGCAGTTGTGAAATTGTTCATAGCTGTTCTGCTGCCACTTGAACTTTGTTCCAAGGCTAATCTGAATAAACACTGATTATCTACCTGATGGAAGAAATTTGATTGCATTTCTGCAGGCCGTCCACACATAGCATTTCCACTAACCTAATCAAAAAGTGCTTCAGAGGAAAAGGGAGAAGAAAATTCTTGGAAATTACAGGAAATAATTACTGCATTGCAAACCCAAGCAAAAGCCTAAGCAAACCTTCCCCAATAATGTTCTACCTCAAAAATGTTTCTAAGTAATTGCGGACAGCAGAAAATTCCCTGAACAAAGACAGCTAATCATAACAAACCAAATGGGTGTTCATCCACTTTGTTTTGTATCTGTTGCAGGTTAGTTCCTGCACTGACCAGAGTACAGCACACACAGTTCCCAGGGTGTAAGCTCACGTGTGAATTTCCCATGTACTCATAGTTCCTGCCCAGGCATGCTTTTTTAACCTATAGCAAAAATAATAGCATCTTACTCCTCTGCTTACATGCCTGTTGCCCCTTGTTTGCAATCATCCCCACTCCACACGCCATGATACACCTGTGTGCTGGGAAAAGGCTTAGTTTTCCAGACATATATCCAAAATCATCAAATACAACAGATGGATGAAAATCACCCATTTAATTCTAGAACATGATTTAAGGATGAATGATCACTAATTTCACAGCACTTTCCGGAATGTATCATTTGCTAACACTTCTATGTATTTTTCAAGATTAGTGTTAGTCAATATTAGTCTCAGTGAAAATCTAACTCAAGTACTCAGGGCACTGCTGACAGGAGCTCTTCCTTCTACTTCTCAAGTTTGTACAGAGGAGTATTCCAACAACATGTAGCCAACCAAGAAAAACTTCTAATTGAAACAGCAGAGCCAAATGCAGTTCCTGAGACTTAAAGCCAGTTCTACTCTGAAAAAGGCCAGAACAGCATTTTTCAGCTAACTGAAACTTACCCACTCATTTAATTTAGCAAAAGTATTTCTTTTTCACTGCAGCCAGTGGCTGGGACTACTTTTACTTCCTGCTTACTTCAGTAATCTGAAGTGAAACTTCCTGGTTCTGTACTACACTGTGTTTCAGATTTCTACTTTCAGAGTCTTAATGACATAAATCCCATTACGAGATCAGCACCAAAACCCTCCAGCCTTCCGACAAGAGCAGAGAGCACTCAAGACTGACTATCGGGGCTCAACTTGAGTTTGTGGAACTGGCAGTGAGTATTATTTCTGCTTTTTTAAGCTGACAGTATTTTAGTCAAAGAAAAATCCCTCCTAAAAATCAAGCTTTGGGGTTTTTTGGGGGGTTATTGTTTGCTTTTAAAAACAGTAAGAAAAACAGCAACAGCCCCCTTCCAAAGGAGAAATGTACTTGGGAGGTGGAAAGAGGTGTTGCTGTAGGAATAACCACTTTATTACTAACTATACCAAGTTACTGCTGTCTATAAGGTTTTTCACACTCTCTACAGTTTTATTTCAATACGTTACTAATTCATTGAATTAATCACAAGAAATATGGGGGTTCACCTCTCCTATTGCCTTTTTTTTTTGGCAGAAAAACCCGTGTAGACAAACACTACATGAACAAAAGAACACACGGACATACTTTCAACCCTGCTTACCACACTCATCTCCTCTTGCTACTGAAAACAAATCCGCTTCCTCCTACTACTCAGTTTCCCTGTTCCCAACCTGTCTTGGGCAGCTTCACTGCAGTAATTCAGGATCTTGTTCTGTGGACAGAATAACTAACTGAGATAAGGCAAGTTTTCCACTGATTCCTCAGTGCTGATAGTCACCAAGCACTGAGCTACTGGGAGTTAACATAATGGGAAACATAGCTCAAGTGTTGTAGAACAAGCATCAAACCACCAGCTTGCTCTAGAATAAATGTCCTGTTGTTGCTGGAAATAAGTTTAAAAATTAACCATGACAAATTAAAAAATAAAAGCAGATTACACTATTACTAACTGTTAACTACTGTGTTACAAGGCATAACAAATGAGACGTTGAACACAATAGTACTGCAAGTAATCAAAGAAGGGCTTTTGTAGCTCTATTTAGGTTTTTTCCCAACATTTTATAGCTCCTATAGCACAAGGTTGCCACATCATTTCATTCAAGAAAAAAATTTGCGTTGGGGAGGTTTAAAGCAGAACATCTTCCCCACACCTCTAAAGAATCATACCAATCATACCATTATCCCCAGCTTAAAGAGTAGGCTTTCAGATATGTAGGCTTTCATGCGTAAAAGAATCCTCCTTAGTTTGATAGTATCACACTGCCTGTGAAAAGCACACCATTCAGAGTGACTGCTGTTCAGTTAATGAAACACAACACCTAAGGAAAGTCATCCAGCACCCCATAGCCATCCAGCACCCCATAACCCTTGCCTCCCGACCACACAAATATTTACAAGATGGGAAGCAATACAGCACCTGCCAATGACAAAATCCAGAGGTGACTTCACTGAATCATTGAAATGGAACCGGTCTTACCTATATTAAGGCCTTTCTTCATAATTATAGCTTACAGCACAAGAGAAAGAAACATATGAGATCAGTCTGCTTTCTGGTTAAGTATTTTTATCTCCAAAACCTTCAACATCAATATAATAATGTTGTAGAAGGGATAACACACTATAATGACTGCAAGAGTAGCTTTAAATAAAAATCAATTTTTTTTTTCCATGGGGTCCACACATTACTTACCTAGGCACACTACATTATGTGCACAATATGGGGAGGAGGAAGAGAAAAAGGGGAACATATTCAAAGAAGCATCTTTTCCAGTTTCTGTCCCTTCTGTTTTCCCACTTGAGCAGTTAGGGTCAGCACTGTGAGACCACCATCCCACATGCATATGGCTGAACTATCAGCAAAATGCCACTTAAATGCTACCATTTCAGCATTTCATTTTAGTTAATTACAAGCACTGAGGCTGGGAGACAGCAGGGGCAAAACACAGCAAAGGAGCTTACGTTGACAGAATTCTGCCCAATTCTTCTTACATTACATGTTGAAACAACAGCACCAGGAAATGACTACATTGCTCTTTATATGGGAACTTTTAGAGACCAATTAAAAGGTTTCCAGGCTTCCAGTAAGACTGAAGGCTACATTCAAATAACACTATGTCTACCTGAGAACTCCTACATCTTGATGTACGTTGCACATAGATCCCCCAGGACAGTTTCAATTCTGTTTGTATTCGTCAAGATTTATCTGGTTTCTCTGCCCCGAGTCTTTCAGCGCTCTTTGCAAAGTCCACAGGCAAAGCTTTTTTGTAGTTTTCTTATAGTAGATAACTACCTGATGGAGTTACTATAAAACTTCGGGCTGCATATCCAAAGAGTTACAGAAGATTGCTTACACAGATTTAAATGTAGTATTTCTTAGAGCTTTATTACTTGTGCATGCTTTTCTGTTCTCTTCTCCATTATATGGACTAGCACTTTTGCAGTAAGCTTCTACTGAAAGCAGAAGACAGAGATGCCTCAACAAGTTTGTCCTACTCTTCTCTCAAGCCCTTTCTAATGCTGACCTTCACTCGTGCCACCATCCCCTACCGAATCATTATCTCAAGCCCAAACCCTTACTCTACTATTCCCCGCAGGTACACATTCCTGATCTGCCTTCATTTGATGCGGCCCTATCACCCTATCTCAACCCAACACCCAGTTTCATTTCCCACATGGGACAGCTTATAGCGTCCTTTATCCCATCTTCTTTCAGATCAGCTTCTTCCCCTGACCAGCTAGATGCAAGAAGAGCTCCCCTCTTCCACCTCAACCACCCGCACCCAGCACAGCAGCCCCGAATCACCACTGCTGGCAAGCTGAGGGGGGATATTCAGAAATTTGTGGCTTTTCTGATCAAAAGTCTCTATTAAGCAAATTAAAACCCATGATTAAAACCCATCTTAAAAAAAAATATTTTTAAAGACCTTTGCACAGAATTAGGCAGAATTACAGTCAAATTAGAAAGATCAACACGTGCAAGAGTGGAAAATCTCTGTCTGACGGCATTTTATGGAACCTTTGTTCCCACAGGTGTCAAAAGCAGCACCTTACCGAAAAGAGGTGTAAAGCCACAGACAGCAATCGCGTGGTGCTGTTCCCTTACGCCTTTCAGGGCACAATTCCCAGAAGAGGAAACCCATTTAATCCAAACATTTAATATTCACATTTACTACATTGTAAACACTTTCAGCACTACCGTGAAATTGAAATCTGCTTGAAGATGTCAGAGCAAACTGAAACAGAAGCTAAACAGACTACGAAGCAACTCATCCTGGCCACATGCGCCAAAGCATCCTCTTTCTTTTCCCCCCAACCCTCCCTTCGATGCTCCCCGAGCCTTGTGCTCACCAGGCAGCCTGGTGCGTTACTCCACACACCCATGCCAGAACCGGACAGCTGCCTGGAAATGGTGCAAAACAACTGGTTTTGGGCCAAACAAGCCAGTTCTTGCCACAGATCCGCTGGAGCTCACCGTTGCCACGAAGTTGCTTTTAGACAGCTACTTTATTGGCATCAGGGGCACCACACCTTGTTGGAGAAGGGCAGGAAAATGGTGTTTTGGGGGGTACTTTTGTTGGTCTTCAGCCGAGCCCGCGGGGCAGCTGC